ACCACCGTCAGCTGCTGCTGCTGCTGTAGTACCGTCTGCTGCTGCTGTAGCACCGTCTGCTGCTGCTGTAGCACTGTCAGCTGCTGCTGCTGCTGCTGTACCACCGTCAGCTGCTGCTGCTGTAGTACCGTCTGCTGCTGCTGTAGCACCGTCTGCTGCTGCTGTAGCACCGTCTGCTGCTGCTGTAGCACTGTCAGCTGCTGCTGTAGCACTGTTAGCTGCTGCTGCTGCTGTAGCACTGTCAGCTGCTGCTGCTGCTGCACTGTCAGCTGCTGCAGTACTGTCTGCTGCTGCTGTAGCACTGTCAGCTGCTGCTGTTGCACTGTCAGCTGCTGCTGCTGCTGTAGCACTGTCAGCTGCTGCTGCGGCTGCTGCTGTAGCACCGTTGTTGGTGTGGCTTATTGAGAATACCAAGAAACAATTAACCCAGAGGTTAGCCACCCAGGATAACCCAAAAAGTCAGTGTCATCGAAGACTGTCTAACTTATTTCCATTGGGGTCCTTAATCTTGTCTCTCAGGATGCAACCCACACCAGTCGACTAACACCAGGTGACAGGGAAAATGCCTGGAACTAGTGCTCATATTGGTGAATTTAAAGCCAGCAAGGTTGGTTGAGAGATTTAAGAATCATAGTGGCATACACAGTGTGATAAGGCCTGTTCTGGAAGAAAATGCCAAACAGGACCTACATTACTCAGGAGGAAAAGGCATTCCCAGGACACAGTGTCTCATCAGTCATTGCTGCATCTTCAATAAAGGTAAGTGTCATTTATTCTTCATTTAGTAGAGTAGTACATGCACAATATATATTGTGCATGTACTACTCTACTATTGTGCATGTATCCTTCTCTTTGTGTGTAGGAAAATGTATATTTCATGTGGTAAAATATTTTTTTTCATACTTTTGGGTATCTTGCACAGATTAATTTGATTTCCATTATTTCTTATGGGGAAAATTCATTCGCATAACGATAATTTCGCATAACAATGAGCTCTCAGGAACGGATTAATATCGTTATGCGGGGGTCCACTGTACTGTGCCAAAACAAAAGCATTCACATTGCTAAACTCACAAACTAGTATTTAGTAACTTAGCCATAAAACCAACTTACCTCATAATTTGTAATATTTTAAAATTAAGAATTAAACTAAGTCTCCCCGAAATGCCTAGCCATACTAGGTGTTCTAGTGGTACACTCTGTAATTATTATTTTACATGTAAACCACGCAATAACCCAATTCTGTAAACTCAGCATTGTAATCCTTATAGAGAATAAACTTTGAATTGAATTGAATATGTAAAGCACCTACACAGTACATTATCCATTAAAGATAAGGTGGCTTTGAAGCCACTGCCGGTTGCCATGAGCTCAGTCTCACGAAGCAGGAGAATATGCTTTATTATTATGCTAACATCAACACTACAGCTTATTTGACTATCACAATTGATATAATATGACATAAGAAACAATATACATAACATTAAACATGTTAAATACTCCAGTTCGACGGAGGTATGAAGAGGATATGGTATACAAATACCATTCTCCTATCCCTGTCTTGGGGGCTTATATTAGAGAAAACAAAGTGTAGCACAGGGCTAACTGTGATATACACTCTTACTGCACCATAAACCTGAAACAAAAAAGTTATTTTCTTTCTATAGATTATCACATATAGCAGCATATGTGTAGAAACCTAGGATAACCCAAAAAAAGTCAACGTGGCTTATTTTTTGTACCTGGCTTGGGTTAGCCATGTATGATTTTTGGTAAATATTCGATTCCCAGCCAGGGTAGAAACATTAGGTGTGTTTCTTTACACCTGTTGTCTGTTTACCCATCAGTAAATGGGTAACTGGGTGTTAGCCGACAGTGTGGGTGTTATCCTGGGACACTGACCTAATTTTCTTGAAATATTCTGCATAACAAGCGGCTTTCTATACAGTAGTATGTCACTGATGTCAGCTAGGCCTGTATACCTTGTACATGTACGTGTAGTAAATAAAGATATTATCATTATTATTATATTATTTTCTCAGTTGTTTGTTGGGTTATCTTATTCAAACTTGGGCAATGTATGATGGAAAGATACTTCTTCAAGTACACCAAAAATGAAAGAAATCAAACCATAAATAGCGGAGTTCACTTCTCAGCCATTAGCGGCCGCTTAGCGGTATATTTTTGTATGGTTATGGTTGTGTTCTCATTTTTTCGGTCTCATTTGATAGAATGAAAGATATATTACAGAAATAGATATGATTTTGATTGCTTTCATGACGAAAAGTACCTTGAAATTGAGCTTACAGTAGCGAAAATGTTCTATTCTTTAGCAAAGCTCAAGAGTAAACAAATGACGTCACCGTCCAATACCTGTCCGCCTGCCAGTCTAAATTCCAGTACGGAGTCAAGAATGGCTTGACATTATTTATACAATTATTACAATAACGCAACAGTCTGCATAACAGTAAATCTTCTATTTTTTTGTGAATAAAAATTCCAAATGAAAAGCAAGAGTAATATAAGAGGGGCCTGTAGCCGTGACTAATGAACAGAGAAAATGTTATTTTAATGCCAGGAATGTCTGCATTGTTTATTCTGGACCCTATTTTGAAATTGGCATCTGTTGAAATTTGTGTGAAATCGGCCAAATTGCCAATTTCTGACCACTTTATTGGGTAGTTGAAATATGTGAATGGACAGTTTCTTGTACTCAGTTGACAGCTTTATTGGGTAGTTGAAATAAGTGAATGGACAGTTTCTTGTACTCAGTTGACAGACTAGAAGAAAATAAGTTTATTCAGGTATACACAAATACAGTGGTCCCTCGTTTTTCGTAATTAATCCGTTCCTGGAGCCGTTACTATAAACGAAATTTATGATTTGCGAATCAATTTCCCCCATAAGAAATAATGTAAATACAATTAATCCATTCCTGACACCCAGAAGTATTAAAACAAAAAAATTTTTTACATGAAATATAGTACATAAACAATACAATGGGAAATGATGAATGAAACGTTAACAGCATAACACTTACCTTTAGTGGAGATTCTTATTAGTGAATGGGAGACTGGAAGAGGAGAGAGATTGGATTGTTTACAGTTTGGAAGGGGAATCCCCTTCCAGCAACACCTCAGGTACCAATTGCTTCTCTGGGGTTGCTTCTCTTCTCTGTTTCTTAATGCCACTAGGACCACCTTGAGAGTCACTCTAGTCCTGTCTCGCAAAGTAACTGTGGAGAGAGCTCTGTTTCTGGCGTCTCTTTAACACTTCCCGAAAATGGCCCAAGACTGTCAGTCACTGTACATATTTCTCACCTTCTTTACCACAGGCTTGGCACTAGGAGCTTTCTTTGGAGCCATGGTAGCTCATTTAGTAATTGCAAGCACTAAAATGAGTGGAATATTATGAAATATTTCGTAGGAGCACTTGAGGGGACCTTCACTCACTGGTAAACAATGCCAGACTGGCTGGGTAGGGAGGCCGCCCCGGCTCACACCGTGCGTACGTGTCCAGGACGAACTACCATTCACGAATCAACCTATGAAAAGCGAGTCCATGTTTATACGAAAATACCCCTATGATTGGCGAAATTTACGATTGCCGAGAACTACGAAAAGCGAGGGACCACTGTACAGTTACATAGATTATCATACATAGCAGCGTATGTATAGAGAACCTAGGATAACCCAGAAAAGTCAGACAAAGTGACTTATTTCCAGTACCTCACTTGGGCTTGCCATGTATGATTTTTGGTAAATATTTTTTTTTTCTCAGTTGTTTGTTGGGCTATCTCATTGAAACTTGGGCAATGCATGATGGAAAGATGCTTCTTAAGGTACAACAAAAATAAAAATGACGGACGATAAATAAGGGAGTTAACTTCTCAGCCATTAGCTGCCTCTTTGCAGTATACATATGTATTTTCATATGGTTTTTATGGTTGTATTCTCATGTTTTTGGACTCATTTGATAGAATGGAAGATATATTACAGAAATAGACATGATTTTGATTGCTTTCATGACGAAAAGTACCTTGAAATTGAGCCCAAAGTAGAGGAAATGTTTGATTTTTGCCGATGTTCAATGAACTGTGCAAGTCAAGTTGGTTAATTTTATTAGGTGTATTTTAACCTAACCACTCTGTAATCCGGCAAACTCAGTAATCCGGCACACTACAGGTCCAATGATGCCGGATTTGTGATGGAGGACCTGTACAGGATATTTCCTTGAATAACTAGGTTTGGAAGAAAAACCTTTTAGCACAAGAATATGTTGTATATATGAAATTAGATACACCCAAAATGAATGACCTGAAAATATTCAGTAAAGAAACTAAGTATATACAGTATCACAGGTAAAGAGAACAATAAGGAAGACAATAACAAGGACACTGACAGACTGTCCTCCTCTAGTGTCAGGACTGTGTGATACACAATACACAAATAAGGACTGTGTGAATGTGTGCACATGTTTGTGTGTGTGTGTGTGTATTATAATGTGCAGTAGTTCCACCTGTTCAGTTTTTCCAGGGCACAGAAGAAGATACCTTTCCCCAATATATATATAAAATAGATATTATAAAAACAATTAATAGAGACCAACAGGAGGTTACACAAGCTAACTTCTATAGAAGCTTCACTAATGGAAATAAATCCTGTAAGTTTCAAGTCACGTGAAAGATGCATTCTCAAGAAATTGTCCAGAAACAAAGCATCAGAAAATAAACAAGGCAAAACTATAAGGTAACCTTACTTGGGACACATAATAATAAGAATAATGAGGAAAAAGAAGGAAATCAGAAAAGAAAAAGAAATACTATATAAGAGTAAAAGAGGTGAACCCAAAATGGAGAGAGAAAATGACAAGAGAAATAAAATAGAAAAAAATAAGAAAAAATACAAGAGAAATGGTAATGATATGCAAAGATGGCAAGAAATGTTATCATAGTCAAATAATATAATAATATACAAATTAAAATTTCTTAAGCTTAAATACTTGAAAACAAACTGAGCTGTGTTGGTCAAAGAGAATTCAGAATTACTTCAAATTAAGTTCCCTCAATCATGTAATCATGGTATAAATTATTTTTCAGGTGATTAAGTTTCTAGATTATTTATGCATGATTAAGTGTATGTAAGTTATCTTACCTGTAATCTTGGCCCAAGTGTCCTGGACCCATGCCTGGATGTCGTGGTGCCATTCCCTGAGGCACAGCACCCATGGGCTGTGGCGACTGCCCTCGGAGATTCGGCGGAACCATGGGTCTGTTTAGTCCCGGCAATGGACCGTTTGGCATCCCATCATTCATTTGTGATGCCATGGGACCACTCATGTTCATTGTCGTTACCACACACTGTGACTTGTTTATAGAATTAATTGTATTCATAGTGTTTATATTGGATACAGTATTCATGCCACCAGCCATGCCTGCGCTGTTTGCCATACTACTTAGGCCCATTGAGGTGTTGGTGTTAACAAGGCTCATGGAAGATACTGCACCACTAGAGGCCATAGAAATTGACATGGTTCCCGTCACATTGGCAGCCATTGAATTAGCTATACTATTAGGCATAGTGTTCAAATTATTAACGGAGTCACTCATAGTTAGTTGTTGGCTAGATGTTGGAACACCACTCATACCTAGATTTGAATTTTGAGGTGACTGCATTGGTCCACCATGTGGGCTTTTGGAATTTGTCAATGCATTTACTATCATATTGCTTTGGTTGGGCATACTGTGGGGCCCAGTTGTCATTGCATTATTTCCAGCCATGGAATGGGGTGGCGTCTTGGTTTGGAGGAGATGAGTCAGTTGTTGAGGGCGGTCTCCAGGACCACCCCCACCACCGCCACCACCACCTTCCATCATACCATTGACACCTCCCCCGCCACCGCCACCACCACCCTGAGAGTCACCTGACCACATCAGGTCATCTGGCAGAGCATTCTCCAGCATTGCAGCAAAGTCATCTGAAACAGAGGAGAATATTTTACTCATATGTCTTAACTACAGAGTTTACTATAAATTTTGTGGGTGGAGCAAAAAGGAGGGGAGTGGGGGAACTGTGTGTAAATAAGGGTGGTGAGAAGGGTAAAAGTATAATTTGCAAGAATAAAATCAAATCCTTAGCCAGTTAAATTGTACTTAAATTGCAATAAAGTTGGTAGAATTACTGACAATATGTTGTGGAGTCGATTATTTGTGAGAAGGCAAGGCAGTTGCATGAGGAGCTTGCAAAGAAAATGCCTAGAACAAGTGCTGCAGTTTGTGAATTTACATAAGAACATAAGAAAGGAGGAACACTGCAGCAGGCCTGTTGGCCCATACTAAGCAAGTCCTTTACAATCCATCCCACTAACAAAACATTTGCCCAACCCAATTTTCAATGCCACCCAAGAAATAAACTCTGATAACTCTATCTACTCTCATATGCAAGTCCCACTCAAATCCAACCCCACTAACTCATATATTTATCCAACCTAAATTTGAAACTACCCAAGGTTTTACCCAACTAGGTAGACTGTCCTACTCATCAACTAACCTATTTCCAAACCAATACTTTCCTATATCCTTTCTAAATCTAAACTTGTCTAATTTGAATCCATTACTGCGGGTTCTCTCTTGGAGAGATATCCTCAAGGCCTTATTTATATCCCCTTTATTAATACCCATCTTCCACTTATACACTTCGATCGTGTCTCCCCTCATTCTTCGTCTAATAAGTGAAAGTAATTTAAGGGTCTTCAATCTTTCTTCATAAGGAAGATTTCTAATGCTATGTATTAATTTAGTCATTCTATGCTGAATGTTTTCTAACGAATTTATGTCCCTTCTGTAACATGGAGACCAGAATCGAGCTGCATAATCTAGGTGAGGCCTTACTAATGATGTATAAAGCTGTAATATAACTGCTGAACTTCTGTTGCTTACACTTCTTGATATAAATCCCGGTAATTTGTTTGCCTTATTACGTACGCCTAGGCATTTCTGTCTTGGTTTAAGGTTGCTGCTTATCATAACCCCCAAGTCCTTTTTGCAATCTGTATGGCTAAGTTCTACATTATTTAACTTATAAGTGCTAGGGTTGTGGACACTACCAAGCTTCAGAACCTTGCATTTATCTACATTGAACTGCATCTGCCACTTTTCTGACAACTTACTGAATTTGTCCAAATCCTCCTGAAGTTCCCTGATATCTACGTTTGAATCAATTATCCTACCTAACTGTGTCACTGGTGAATTTGCTCATTACACTAGTAATTCCCTCATCAAGATCATTGATATATGTATATTATAAACAACAATGGGCCTAAGACTGATCCCTGTGGAACGCCACTTGTTACGGATCCCCACTCGGATTTAACGCCATTCATGGACACTCTCTGCTTCCTGTCTGTGAGCCATGACTATTCATAACAGCACTTTTCCCCCAATGCCATGAGCTGCCACTTTCTTTATCAGTCTTTGGTGCAGTACTCTATCAAAAGCTTCACTAAAATCTAAATAAACAATATCAAATTCTTTGTCATGATCAACAGCCTCAAAAGCTCTACTGAAGAAAGTTAATAAATTAGACAAGAATGGCCTCTCGTGAATCCATGCTTAGTATCATTAATCAGATTATGCTTATCCAGATGGCTTCTCATTAACTCAGCTATAACTGACTCTAGTAAATGCCTACAATTGAGGTTAGGCTCATTGGGCGGTAATTTGAAGGTAGTGACTTGTTCCCTGCAAAGGATGGGTTGAAAGATTTAAGAAGCATAGTGGCATACACAGTGCTGTAAGGCATGGTGAGGCTGCAAGTTCTGACAAATGTGCGGCTGAAAAGTACATTCACGAATTCCAGGTCTATATAAAGGCTGAAGGATTCGAACCCCAACAAATGTTCAATTGTGACGAAACAGGCCTGCTTTGGAAGAAAATGCCAAACAGGACCTACATTACCCAGGAGGAAAAGGCTCTGCCAGGACTCAAGCCGATGAAAGACAGGCTTACTCTTTTGTTGTGTGGCAATACTAGTGGGGATTTCAAAGTGAAGCCTTTACTAGTGTATCACTCAAAAAATCCCAGTGTGCTCAAGAAAAACAATGTCATGAAGAATAGATTGTGTGTGATGTGGAAAGCTAATTATAAGGCATGGGTTACAAGGCAAATTTTCAAAGAGTGGGCTAATAATGTGTTTGGCCCAAGTGTGAAGAAATACCTCCTGTTACTGGACAATGCTCCTGCACATCCTCCAGACTTGCAAGACCAAGTGTTTAGGGACTTCAGTTTCATCACAGTGAAGTTCTTGCTTCCTAACACCACTCCTCTCTTCCAGCCCATGGACCAGCAGGTCATTTCAAACTTCAAAAAACTCTACACAAAAGCAGTGTTTCAAAGTGCTTTGAAGTGACCTCTGACACTCAGTTGGCCCTAAGAGAGTTCTGGAGGAATCACTTCACTATCCTCCATTGCATAAGCCTTACAGGTAAGGCTTGGGAGGGAGTGACTTCCAGGACTTTGAACTCTGCTTGGAGAAAACTGTGGCCAGATTGTGTCTAAGAGAAAGATTTTGAAGGGTTTGAGGCTGACCCTGACGACCCTGTGGACTCTAATGTGGCACTGGGGAAGTCCCTGGGGATGGAGGTGAATGGCAAAGATGTGGAAGAGTTGGTGGAGGACCACAGGGAAGAGCTAACCACTGATGCAAGATCTTCAACTCAAACAGCAACAGACTGCAGCTGATGAACTTACTTCAGAGGAGGAGGAAGAGTGAAGGAGGTGCCTTCTTCATTGATTAAGGACATTTGTGCAAAGTGGAATGATGTGCAAAGTTTTGTCGAAAAGTACCACCCTGACAAAGCTGAAACAAGCCATATTTACAACATGTTTAGTGACAAAACCCTGTCCCACTTCAAGGAAATTTTAACCCCTTGACTGTCGCAACCCCAAATCCTGAGGGGTCTCCTGGTGTCGAAAAAAAAAAAATTCTTAAGAAATGATAGAGAATCTTTTCCCGGTTGTAATGACACCAAAAGAACGAAATTTGATGGAAAACTGATGGAACTACACTCTCGCAAAGTTACTGACCTCGGCGATATTCATGAATCGGCGATTTCGCCCACTTTGAGCCTATTTTCGGCTAATTCCATTGTTCCAGTCGACCAAATTCATAACTATTTCTTTACAACTCCATTTTTTTCTATCAATTTAGTACAAGAAACTGCCCATTTACCGATTTCAACTACCCAATAAAGTGGTTAGAAATTTGCAATTTGGCCAATTTCACAAAAATTTATGTGACAATTTCAAAATAGGGTCCAGAATGAACAATGCAAACATTCTTGGCTCTAAAATAACATTTTCTTTGTTCATCAGTCACGTCTCCAGGCCCCTCTAATATTACTCTTGCTTTCTATACTGAATTTTATTCAAACAAAAAACAGAAGATTTACTGTTATGCAGACTACTGCAATATTGTAATAATTGCATAAGTAATGTCAACCCATTCATGACTGCATATTAGAATGGCTACTTGGACATTTATTGGAAAATGATATCATTTGTTTACTTTTGAACATCGGCAAAAATCAAACATTTCACCTATGTTGAGCTCCATTTCAAGGTTCTTTTTGTAGTAAAACAAATTAAAATCACCTCTATTTCTATATGTTTTCCATTCTATCAAATGAGACCAAAAAAATGAGAATACAACCATAAATACTATATGAAAATAGACCACAAAGTCGACATTTTAATTAAAAAACGGCCGGAGTTTTTTTTTTCTCATTATGTACTGCGTGCTGCAGGATTTTTTTTATTATAGTGAGCCACAATCACTCACCACCTAGAACCCATTTCTCACAACATGTGGGGCCTATACAGCCTTTCTGCTGTTTGAAGCGTTCCTAGAATTACTGCGTACAATGTGATATACACGTAAATGGTGGCTTGCGTAATGGAACCTTATACAGAGGCCCAATTATACAGTCTTTAGGTTCCAGGCTAACCGCCGTAAAAACAGTGGTAAACCGACGTAAAGTGGACCAACACCTTTTTTTCCACTTACAATGCATAAAAACTAGATAACATATTTACACTAACATTATTAGTAGTAGCATAGAACCAGGCATCAAAAAACAATTAAAAAAGTCAATACCACATAGTGCACTCAATTATTACCTTAAATATTTTAGTCTTAAATTAGGGTGAGACATAGTAGTATTTATTGTAAAAATCAAGTGTGGTATGTATGGTAGTCAGCCAGGCTACCATACCAGGCCAACCCACCCACACATACAATTCTATGATATTTAAGCATCCCAGAGCGATAAAATGTATATACAGTTCACTCATTACTTACCTTAAAATATAGGGTGAGATGAGTAGTATTTATTGTAAAAAATCAAGTGTGGTATGTATGGTAGTCAGCCGGGCTACCATACCAGGCCAACCCACCTACACATAATATTCTATTACATTTAAGCATCCCAGAGCGATAAAATGTATATACAGTTCACTCATTACTTACCTTAAAATATTTGTAGTCTTAATGTAGGGTCAGGAGTAAGTAAATGAGATAAAACGAATAAATGAGAGAGAGAAAGAATGAGTGCATGAGAGAGTACAGGCGCAGAGTTATGTAAACAAACCAGGCGAAGGTAAGTTTTGTAAACGAAGTGTACACGTCTGGTTTGTGTACAAGTTACATTGTGTACAGGTTGTCTCTACATTGATACGGTAGAATAAATAAAGAACACTCCCATTCTCATGTAACATCATTTTGAGAAGAAATGATGCTCTGAGTGAAGGCAATGGAAATAAGTCACTCTGACTTTTTTGGGTTATCCTAGGTTCTCTACACATATGTTGTTATGTATGATAATCTATGTAACTGTATTTGTGTATACCTGAATAAACTTACATACATACGAAAGGAATAATTTTCTACAGTTACCCCCAGTAACACATTTTCTCCTATGTT